CCAAAAAGAAAATATGAAGATAATTGCTTGTCTAAATACTGATATATTTTAATATATTTTATAAATATAAATGATACATTTAACATAACTATTATTAAGCTGATTATAATCAGCTCAAGGGAGGATTTAAATTTTTTTTTACAGTTAGAGAATGAGGGGATCGGCGATTCATCTTGGAGAATCTTGCCAGCCCTGGCATGCCCTAACTGCAGTCCGGGGTTTGCCCGGGTGAGATGGGGACTCACGGGGGGCCATGCTGCCTGGCGTGCGGGCCCTCACCGTTGGCCACCAGATGGCAGGCACAGCCTCCTCTGGAATGATCTTTTCTTTGCTCTACATAAGGAACGGCTGCATCTTTCTCCGTTGAGAATAATAGATAGTGCCAAGTACGCTGAAGGTAACGGCCACTTTCTGAAAGCTGTTTTCAGCTTTTGCACCTGAAGCTTCTTATTCTTTTGCCTTTCTTTGTTGTGATTCTCACACTGTGCAAGGAAATACCTTTTATTTTTCCACTAGTCTCAGTTATAGCTGTTAATTTAGTTGGATTTGAACTGAGTTCTGTTGAGAAGTATAACACAACTAGCAGTGTGCAGACTCTACATTGTAGTAGTTGGAATGGCTTAAATACACGTAATGTATTTAAAATACATGTATACATAAACATAGATAATTTTGGTATAACTTATTCTTTTTTTATTGGATAATTCCCGACTTCTCTGCACCATTTCGTTCAATGACCAGCCCACCAAGGATGAAGCACTGCTACAGTGGTATGCAAAAGTAACATCACATGCTCACAGCTCTGAAGAGGCAGGAAAATCACAAATAACTTCAGTTTTAGCTGAAACTGAAGAGATAGGGGCTTAGCAATTGTGCAAGTGACTGTAATTTCAGTAAAGTCAGAGGGCCTCCATTATTCCTTTATTCTTGAAATAAACATTCTCCTGACTTAGTATTTGGAAGACCACTTAATGAAATGCTTCATTCTCCAATACACTATTGAATTTAATTAATTTTATAACAAAAAAGACAGGAATGAAAGTAAGAATTTATTTAAAAATAAGTGAGCAGAAACATGGTTGCAAATTTACAGTGCACATTAAAAACTCCTCTGCACAGACAAGTACAGATGATGGCCCTTTTGCTCAAAGCTTGTTCTAAACAGATTCTGATCCTGAGCAGCCGGGTAGAGCAAGCTCATTTATTACAACTGCATACCCTTACTTTTATTGTTTGGATGGATGTTTGTAACCTGCACCACATTCCCACTGCAGGCAAGCTCTAAGTATTGTATAGTTGTGTACTTGTCAGCATTTCTACATCACATCACAAGAAAGTTATCAATAAAATTTGATCTTTAGAGAGAGAAAGAGAATATAAAAGCTCAAGTACTGTTCATCTAATCTGATTATCTTTTTCCTGTTTCACAGAACTGTAGGGTTTTTCTTATGCAGTTTGGTATCCTCCAAGGTCCATGTGGTTTTCCTGTGCCAGTGGCATTGTCCCCCAGTAAGTTTAATGTAAGCAGAAGAGTTTATGGCTTGAGTTCATTTCCCTTCTTCCCAGGGCTGTGCGTGTCTCTGGAACAGTGAGAGCCTTGTGTGAGACAGAGGCCTTCAGTGCTCAGCTAACCTGAAGACAGTCTTGCTGGTCACCCACTCCCTACGAGCACAGCTGGGACTGGACACTGCTTATTTTTCAGTATACACAGAGCTAAATGTAGAGGGCAAGAATCTTAACTAGGGACTTGCTCAGCCAGTTGTGCTAAGCGGTTGTAAAGATTCTCACAGCCCAGCAGTGGAACATGTGTAAAACTCCCTGGATGACTGTTTGAAAGTAATTGGTTCTCAGAGCTCCCCTTGTTTGCTTCTAAGGGCTTGTTTATAATAAGAATGTTTAAATTAACATGCCATCCTGTGGACACTGGGTTAATGCCTAGGCTTAAGATTTCTTAGTGGCCACATCATCCATTCACTATATCATAGCTCTGATAGGACATTTTTTCTCAGAGTTTCAGCTTTTTCATGTATGAAGTAGGCTTGATGATACTTTAAATAGTATTTTCAAATCTGTGTATGACTGAAATTATTATGATTTTTGCCTCTACTAATGGCATAGAGTTTACACTGTTGTAGCTTAACTGATATCTACTTAGTTTTACCGTAGCAATAAGAACTGAGGCTTTTTTGTATGTGAAACAACTTCGTTGTTTTCCATGCTAATGCTGTTTTTCTTATATATATATATGTAGGCCTAAGCATCTGGGTCCAGCTGATAAAGAAAGTTTGCTTTTCAGTTGTCTGCTCCTGCACAATTGGTCATTGAGTTCAGCAATCTTGGGATTAAGCTGAAGGAGTTTTAATTAAAAGACTAAGTGTTGACTATGGTTGCAGGACAGTCAGAATCATTTTACAGACACTTTAAAATCAAAAGTGCAAAGGAAACATTGGCAGCAAAACAAGTTTCTCTGTTCCTTCCTGAAATCTTTATGTATTTGTAATTGATACAGAAACCCCAGTTTTGTACTTTTCTCCCACAGTGCTGTGTTTTGAATGTTAATCACAGGACACAGAGCACGTTCACAGAGGGAAGGTATATGACTCTCTTCTGTTTCAAGTGTGGAGACATCCTTTTAATTGCACGCAGACAGCAGATGGTGTGGCTTTTGTAGCGTCATGAACTCCAACACAATATAGTCAGCCACTGCACAGCGTGGTACAATTTAAAGCTGAGTAAATACGGGGAGAGGGAAAGGTTAGGGGTGGGAAGGCAGTAATTCCTAGGACATTTGCTCCATTTTTATTTTACAAATTGACAGTGATTTTGTTATGCTTTACTCTTGTTAATTTTCTGCATCTGTTCTAGAAAACGACACTCCTGCCAGGAACGTACACCCAAACAGATAGTTTTAAAAGGACTGCTGTCAGCTTCAAAAACCACATCTCCATTTGAAGCTTTTATGTTTTCTTTCATAAGAAGATGTAAGATTTTAAAGTTACTTTCTCTCAGACTTCAGGTAATAAACATGAGGTAAGATCTTATCCAGTCCACAGGTATAATCTCTCATAAAACTGACTCAGAATTTTCTGAAGCCTTTTCTGGTCAGAAAGTTATTTTCCGTTATAAATCCTCTTCTTGCCTGACTATACTTTTCACCCATCAGTCAGTGTGTTATTCTGGAATAATCTCTCTCATTTTTCACCTGTAAGGAAAAGCTTTAAAACTGCAAAAATTTTCCTAAGACAAGAGAAATGTTTTCCTATTCAAACCTCATGTGCCCTGTGTATTCTCTAATTGGTTTAAAGGCTGTATAACTTATGAATAGCAGAGACATTGCATAAAAGAAAGCAGCTTAGTAAGCAAAATGTACAATTAATACAAGTTAGAGTGGATTTTTTTCACTGAGTTGCAACATGCGCTGACAAGAGGCACCATTCTGCCTCACCTCAGTAGAACAGCTTGCAGACTACATAACGCTCTCCAACATGCGGAATTTAGGGCATGGGCTAGGGGAGTGTACATCTGTGTGAACTCGAAAACAATATCATTGGTAACAAAACTGTTAGATGTAGCAATGCTTCTAAATTGTGTAGTTTTATGGTAATGGTATACCATGAATTATGATATTTAACATTTTACTGAATTTTCATCCCATTTCTGAACTTGTTCTCTGACAGACTGGAGTAAGTATAAGTCTATTAATTAGAACTACAGAAATGGTTACATAGAATACGTTAATCTGAAAATATACCAAGGAGAGAAATGATGAAGTTTAATGGACCTTTGTTTTCTATGTTTTAAATCACCCATCTTATGTTCCTGTGTTGCTTCTGATCAGTTTCCTGACTCTAGACATGTTCTTGCATTAGCATGTGGGATTAAATTAATTGCATTTAACAAATGGATCCCACTTTGCATACAGCAAAACTTGTTGAACACTTATTTCTCCAGACTGTTATAAAACCGTGAGGAAATAGATTTTCTGTTCTTCCCAAATTTATTACTTTATTATATAAAATAAATTTCCAATCTGTGACACCATTTTCACATAAATCCTAGGAATGTTTTTGTTCATATTAAAAATTGTGGCTCTGTATCCTCAGCCAGTGGAGCTATGCCAATACACAGCAACTGGGAATTTCCTACCCTGCTGTCTGTGTGTGGCAATGGATTCACTAGGCATACGACATCTCCTGTATGCATTCTGAATTATCCAGCAGATTCCCTGACTTTTAACATGTGGTTAGCTTACATAAATCGGAGCCCTGCTTTTCCAAAATAAGTATATTTTTTGTACTTTCTGAAAACATTTGCTAAGCAATACAAAGCACTATTTGTCTCTTGATATTAAATCAGGTATGGGAACATGGTGCCACGGACTTATCTAATGGGCTTAACATCCAAGTAGTGTGAAATATTTCAAAATTCTTTCCTCTGTATGAAGATAATGTAAGATATGTGCAGGTGCAGCAATTTACCCAGAATCTTGTCATTGCCCCTAACTTAGCAGATTTAATTAGGAATCTGTGCAGCTTGTTTCTTATTTTCATATGTTAACTAATATAGGGTATGCTTCTGAATAGAGCAAAGCTGTGATCTCAGGACACTGCTTTGAAGCTGTTTTCTCCATGTTGCATTATAACATATTTTACCATTATTCCATCCTGAATGCAAAATCAGTGGAATCTTGAAAGTAAAATTACATCGCTTTGTTTAAATATGCACTAAAATGGAACCTGAGCTTTTGGCCTTGATTTCTCCTGAAGTCCAGACTGTTGTCAAGGAAGTATAATTGAATTACAACCTTGATTTTCATACAGGTCAAAGTCATCCATGGTAGTGACTCGCATAGATCATAAAAGTATACTTCCAAGGGGTGTGAGTATAGGTGGACTGGACAGATTGGTTTATAAAAATGAGGGCCTCGAGCCATCTGCACTTATCCATTCTTCTTTGTTCTAGCTGCTATTCTGCTTTACCAGCCACATCACCAGGGCAACATGGCATTTGCAGGCAAATACGAATTCGAAGATGATGATGAATTTGTGATAAAAATTGGTAGGTATGTCTTGGGGTGTAAGTCTTAAAGGTTATAAATTAGTTAGAAATACTTTTTTTGTTTTTTAAAGGGGGTTTTACTGAAATGTGCTGAGATCAACGGGGCTAAGACTGGTGGGAGTGCTCTGCACTTCAGCGAGGAGATTCAGTTTTCATTCTTGCATGAATCACTGTCAGCCACAGGAAACAGTCCTGTTCTACAGAAGTAGTATTTATTCCTTCTTAGTGGCAGCAGAATGAAGGACCAAGATGTTTGCATTATAATGATCATTAAGGTCCCTTTTTCCATCCTTAGTATTCATCAGTGGGAGTATAAATTTAGTGTGAAAAGGCTTGTCAAAATCTTACGCAGGAACAGGTTTCTGTGAATGCTTTCAGAAGACTCTGCAAACCTGTTTCAGAGATTACTCTGTAAACTCTCTTAGGGACACCATGATCTGTGCACATAAGTTCAGTGCTTGCATTCATTTGTTTAAAAAGAAAAAGCAAAGAGTAAATAAGCATGTGCAGGGATACAGCAAAGGCACAAGTTAATAGACATTATATTCCATGTATCTGTATGTGTAGATTAAGTAGCAGGGAATATTTATATATACTTTGTATCTATACATTTCTTCTGTGTATGGTTGTTCAGGGAAAAGAATGCAAGACCAAAGCTTATTATTTTAGCAAAGGCATTGATGTACCTATACTTTTCTTTATACCAGTGATTTAAACTCAGAAATTTGATACTGCTGTAAAAAAAGAAAAAAAAACAACAAACAAACACAAACCTAAATCAGATGCTCAAACATCGATATCTGAGAACAAACATACCATTAGCATGCTTCAATTCAAATATAGCTGGTAGGCTATTAGATTTTATAAACTGTATGTTTCTATTGATTAAGGCCTCCCCAGTGACAAGGTTGAAATTGGAAGGAATTGTAAATTAGTCACTGAGGTGGTGCAGAAAGAAAATGACTTCACCTGGACGCAGCATTTCCCAGGAGGCTGCACCACGACCAACACATTCACAGTTGGCAAGGAAGCAGAAATTGAGACAATGAGTGGTAAAAAGTTCAAAGTAAATCAATTTAGCTCTTAAGTTCTGTGCTGTCTCAGCTTTTTTTTTTAATTTAGGGTGAAAATCAAATCTGTCTCAAGGTGATCTTCCTTAAATTGTTTTTTTGCATCTGTCATAGCTTAGAAACATATAATTTCCCCCCCATTTCTTGATACCCTAGCAAAATGTCTAAATCTGATTTTAAAGCCACCTAGAGCTTCAGAACTGTTCGTACTAATAAAGAATGAAGGTAGAGTGTCATCTACTGGTGTTTCAGCTCAAGCCAACATAATGCTCATTAAAACTCTAAAGAACTGGTTGGCAGCTGTGTCGTTGTCCAGCACCATACAGCAACTGCTGCACACTGAGGTGAATGTGATGATCCCTAGCACTTCCCATGCCTGTCAGCAGTGCCCACCTTTTGAAGGTACCTGAGCCTGAGCCTTAAACAAAAGACCATGTAAATTGAAGGGGAAAAAAAAATCTCTGTACCCTCCTCCCTGTTGGGAGTACAGAGCAACTTTCAACTTAAGCAGCCTCTAGCGAGAAGGAAGATTTCATGGAGGAAGATCTGCTGCTGTCCTGGACAGAATCTTTATCAAATACCTGCTGTAAAATGGTTGCTTTACTTACCTTATTCATTTCTCATCTATGTAGCCAGATAAGAGTGTTTGCAACAGCTGAACTCTGCATTTGTGTGGTGTCCAGAACCCTACAACAGATTACTGGATAAATTCTTTACACATATTGAAGAGACAGGAAAACCAGCAATTGCATCAGGAAGCTGTGACAAACTCAGAATAACGATAGTGTTGCATAACTTTCAGAATGCTTTTTTAGTCATACCTTTCTGATTATGAGAGGAAAAAAACCATGTCTTTGGCTTTGAGAAATCCTTGTGAAACCTAACAGATAAGGGAAGACACAATTCCACTTGGTCAGTTTATTGCAAACTTCACAGTTTTGAAATATTACAGATTCTGTTCTCTTCTTTTTGGCCTTGAGCTCTTCAGATGATGGTCTCTGTTCTGCCATTGCAACTCAAATTTAGTTACGGTACTTGGAGAGTTGTTGCTTCAGTCCTGCTGAGGGACAGCATCGGTTACAGCCACTGCAGCCAAAACTGCGGAGGATTTGGGAAGGTACCCTCTGTTGCTGCCACTTGCAGCTTGGTGCGTTGTTGGCTGTGGATCATTGCTGTCAGGATGTGAGTTATGGAAGAGTGTTCACACCTTTGGCTCTGTTACCTTAATGGGGAAAGAAAACGGGTGGCAATCTCTGGCAGAGAGGTTGGATTTGGCTTTGTCAACTCTTTCGGCCGAGGCAGCACTATGAATCAGAGTGCTGAAGTACTCACTGAAGTGGAAGCCCATTAGCTTGTGTTAAAAGTGACGTAAAATGTTTGATTTTGAAACTGTTTGATCCAATGAGTAATTCTGAAGCAAATGTTATTCCCCTAGTATTGTAGATAAGACATCAGGAGTGCTTCTGCTCTAAAACTTGCTCCCTTTGGAGACAGAGTTTGGAATAGTTCTTCAGAGACTCAAGACTTTTAAGACAAAGATTGAGTTTAAGACTCAGACTATTTCCTTGTTCCTTTCCTGCCCTATTTCTGTTGTATTCTGCAGGTTAACACTGGGGAATGGAGGGTTGAGGGTGGAATTGCTTGTTGCCTGGCCACTGTGCTTGAGTCTGTGTATGGGATAATTTTATATAGGAGTTCCAGGACTGTTCAGAGTTTGTAATGAATGGAGTTTTTTGAGCTGTAACTCTTAACTCCACAGTGCAAGAATTGTGTGGTGTTATAAGTATCATTAAAAGAAGACAAAGTAATCCTAAAATGGGAACAGTTTTTTTAATCCTTGTTAAATGTGGCTGGATTTGTACTGGTTATATAACCATAAGCTCTCTGCAAGGTCTTACCTGTGCCATGAGACATCCAACCAAAAGGCAAACATAGTCTAATAAGTTTAATATTTACTATTTGACAACCACATACAAGATTTTTCAGCATAAACTCAATTCAGAAGTTGTTCCAGGATCCTTATATTTGCCCAGCATTGACTCCACGATTCTGATGGACATTATGGAGTTCTCGCTTACTGGTGTCAGTAAGCAGTGTCACTGCTCGCCCATCCTGTTGTAGGAATTGGGAGGAAAGGTGAAAAATTGCTCATTCCTTAGGGATGTCACTGCATTGAACCAAAGTCGGGATGCCCGAACCTTACTGATGGTTCTGAAGACTTTGTGGTGCCCCAGGGAAAACGACCAAGTGTCACAAATGAGACCTGTTTGATCTGCAGGGGGTTGAGCCCTCTTTGTTGGGTAGTTCCACCATGTAGTGAACTCCTACACTTACCCGTACGTTGAACACTAGAGGGAGGCAGAGACTGTCGCATGGCCGCCCACGTTACTCACAGACTGAACCAGGTCCTGTCTTCTGCAAGGTGCTTCGGGAACTAATTCTGTTTACTCACAGTGACTTCTCTTACCTGTGAAACACCTGGTTACCTATGGTAAGGGTACAAGGCCTTAATGATATAAATATTAACAGCATTCAGTAATACAGGAAAGATTATAATTCAGACTGAAATTTGAAGATCAGTGAATCTTTCTCTTACCCACAGGAGATTGTGGGGAATGTGGAAAACTCCTCTGTGTAATTGTAATATTTTTATTCCATATGTGTGAAAATAATAAAAATTGAAAAATCTAATTTTTCTGGCATACAAACGGCATGGAGTACTTTTATAGAAATACAGTATTGTTTACACTTAACGCTTTCTTCTTTCTAACCTTTTCTGGAGTCTTTATCAACACATACTGCTGTCTAATTTCTAAATGAAATATATTTGTAGTTTTTACTTTCATTTCTTTGTATTTACAATGGCTTCTAATAGTAGGTTTCTGATGAGGAAAAGGTATCCTGCTTCATGAAAGAACGTACAGCTTCTTCAGATCAGTGGCACATTAAGGATCTCATAAGGATATGATGAGGGACTACTTTAATAATTCATTGCATTCCAGGTTGAATTATACATCTGCATCTAAAAAAAAACAACCCTAAAACCAAACAGAAAAAAGATTGGTCCAACACATTTTAAATCACACAGTGCCTCCCAGGATAGAAAGAGTACCCTAAAATGTTTCATCCATGTTCCTCTCTGCACCACAAGTATCTCTGTCTTGCTCTTTCTCCCTCCCGTTGTGGGCAATCGCTGTGTGCACCTGGGAGGCCTCAGCTGCCCAAATTTACAGTCTGTTCAAACCAGTGTGATTCAGGGCAATCTGCTCACTTAGCACTTAATGTCTCCTTTGCTTGCCCGCGGCTCGCTCTGGTGTAATTCCAGCAGCAGTGATGTGATCAGTCCCCAGCACAGCTTGCAGTGTTTGTGTGCTGGACCACGGCGCCCCAGCACCATCGCCCCCAGTTCCACTCACTAGGGCTGAGTCATTGCCTGAACTTTCTCTTCCTGTAGTTTTTGAAAGTGTCAAGCTTTGATTTTGTTTTTAAAATAATTAATTTACCTGCAACTTAAGGCACATTTCATTTTCGTCTGAAGGCAGTCAGGGAATACTCACATATTTTTCTCTGCTATTTGTCCCCTGGGAATATATGGAAAGGTCAGTAGGGTATGACCAAAGACTGAAGCAGCATGGCTCCAGGAAAGATGTCTTGCCTAAAGATTTTGATAGCAGACCTATGCAGGAATTTGCAAATCTTTTAATCTCTAAAGATGACTGGTGTTGTCCCCCTACTTTTCTGGAGGTTTGTTTGTTTGTTTGTGTTTAGACAGTCAATGACAGATTAATTTCCTTATTGAATCCAGGCTAAAATATGCAACTGTATAATTATTTGATGCATTACCAGCATTCAAACACAAGAATACCAATGCTTGACTCAATTTCCATTCCTGGTAGGAAAAATGGTAGGAAAAAATGAGAATGCCCTCAGGGTGGTCCACTGGAACAGCCCAGTGTGCTCGGTCTGTCCACTCTGGACACATTCCTCTTCACTGCTTGGCTGCAATGCAGGGAGCAAGCACCCAGTGCCTCCTCCCTCAGCAGCACCCATGTGCTCCATCGTCTTACAAAACTTGGCGAGCACTGAAGAAGGAAAAGGAGGTGATGTGTGCAACTGTGCCAGTCAAGTTCTGTATGCCCCGAGACAGCGTATTGTTAAGTATCAGAAGTGATCTTTGTTTTCTACAAAATCAGATTGCAACAAGATTTTGTGTACATTTACTGATAAGCCGATAGAAAGCTTTGCAAGCAAAGGTGGTATCAACCTCCAGGAGTAAATAAAGACAAAATCTATGTATCAGGAAGCCAGCCAGTCATGGAGGGAGGATAGGGGTTTGTCTCAGTTTGAGCCTGTGCTGCTCCTTTTTCTGCATGTGGCAGGTTATATGCATTAGCCTGGGCTTCTTGTCACACTCCCTGTCCCAGTGCTCTCTTTGCTCTGCATGCAGCAGTGTGCGAAGAGCCTTGGTCCTTTTTACGGGGAGGCTCCCCTGTGCCTGCCCAGCTGGGGAGGAGTAGGCAAACCTCAGAGCCAACTTTCTGTTTCTTCCTTTACACATGAAGGCACTCCCCACTCACAAGGTTTACTGGAAAACTATAAAAACGTCCCCCAGAGCTGCCACTGCGAGGACTGGGCTGTCAGCCTGGCACTGAGGAAGAGACACCTGGGTGAGAGGGAAGACGCGGGTGACAGGACAGCCTTGCAGGCTTTCTGCGGCTGCCACAGGCGTGCTGGCTTCAGATAAACTAATCCATGAATAATTCAATATCTTTTACCTGGCTGCAATGAAACAGTCATTTGCTGAGTCTCCTCTGCTGAGAAATGACTTGGAGTCACTAAGCTGTCATGCAATATGCAATTGAAGAAGGGATTTGGGGATCAGCACTGGCCAGATCAATACTGTCGTATTTAAATAGCATCTGAAGTTACTGTTTGATGGCGCAAAGAGCCAATGTGGGAGAATTACCTGCCTGTTAGAGTTCAGGCTTTGTCTTCA